ACGAGTTGGTCATATTGTTTACATCTTAAAATAATAGAACATGCATATGTTGTAAATATTTATTCCCCAATGTACATTGAGAAAAAATTTGATGTTAAATCTGTATCGAACACCAAGACATCTTCCATATTACATTCTAAGATAGAACTTGAATGGAAGAAAGTTACATGTAGGGAAGAAAACAACGTTAATTCATAGTATAATTTAGCAATACGATTGGAGTGTTAACTGAAACTTCATGTACAATCCTTATAAAGGGAATTTAAGCTCTAAAACCACTTGAATAAAGCCCTTGTAATAAAGTTAACCACCATGAATTATGATACGTGATAAACAAATATAAAAATGATGAAATGTAAAGAATTTGTATTGATCCAAGCAACGTTTAGTGTCCCCCTATTACTCCAGCGAATTTTAGCCTACAATGTATTTGTGAACACAGACCAGAGTCCACGGTCCTGATTATGCTATGTTTAAAATGAGGCATCATAGTGGATTAAAACAGATAAAATACAGAATATCATCAATTTCATCAGAAGGTTCCTGTTCTAGAATTCCCCATAGATTAATTTGATTCAGTAACTGATTGATTTCCTAATGTCGAAAACAAAAATCGGATTTGCGTTTGCGAGAATGTGAAACTGCCTTTATGTGGGTATAAAAGAATAGTCAAAAGTATATGCAGAACGTCTCCGCTACATGAACATTTTATGACGCAGAACAACAACAAACCACCATAATAGCCTGTCATATCTTCCGTCTTGATGCGATATGTTAAATCCTTGTAATCTGTTATATAATTGTCGGTATACTTTAAAAATAGCTTTTCTAATAAACTCATGGACTTATTTGGGCGCTTTTTTGTCGGTGGTTCAGGCTGATATTTATATTTTATAGCTGGGTGCATATTTATGGACGTCTCTAATCTAAATATGCATCTAGCGCTGAAATCATGTGCATTAGGATTGATGATTTGAATAAGACCACATTCACACTCACCTCGTTAGAACGGTCTTTGTTAAACCAGTTTTAAAAAGAGTGGTCTAACGTGAGGGTGAAGACTTAAATGTGCAAAGATGTGAACCTATGGATCGGCCCAGGAGACCATGAAAACATTTATAAGGTCCGTGACATGACTTGCTGTTGCAATTAAAATGCAAAGATAACTTAACATGATATTATCTTTTTAACCACAGGAACCACTACAATTCCTACAGAATCGACAACTGGTATGTGCTATTGCACTTTATTTTGCTTTTCATATATCGCATTACTCCTGATTAGACATAGCTCTGCTTAAAAAATGGTAATCAGATGAAAGGATTTCATCAATCACAGTTCTGTCTTAGTCAAATCACAGAATTACCAAGTTTGAAGAAAAAATATATTGAACTCCATATTATATAAGTAAATGTTTTGATTATGGCAATCAAGGCAATATGAAGAAGTAAATTAAAAGTTTCATATTGTTATTCTTTTGTTGGTGGTTGTTGCTAAAAACTTGCTTTTTATCATTCCAATTATTCATTTTTATTCCATAATGCATGAGTAGTATGTACATCTCTTTTTATATCAGAACTACCAACTTCTAGCCGTACTACTACAGAATTAGAAGGAGGTAGGAGATTGTTTTTTCAATTTCATATCAATTGATTTGTTGAAGGTAAACTTGGGTTCTGGTAAAAATAGAGAATGAGTTCTCACAGAATCAAACGAAACTTCCACTGAATGTTGTGTTTTAGTTTTGATGATATGAATAAGACCACATTCACACTCACCTTCTTAGAACGGTCTTTGTTAAACCAGTTTTAAAAAGAGTGGTCTAACGTGAGTGTGAAGACTTAAATGTGCAAAGATGTGAACCTATGGATCGGCCCAGGAGACCATGAAAACATTTATAAGGTCCGTGACATGACTTGCTGTTGCAATTAAAATGCAAAGATAACTTAACATGATATCATCCTTTTAACCACAGGAACCACTACAATTCCTACAGAATCGACAACTGGTATGTGCTATTGCACTTTATTTTGCTTTTCATATATCGCATTACTACTGATGAGACATAGCTCTGCTTAAAAAATGGTAATCAGATGAAAGGATTTCATCAATAACAGTTCTGTCTTAATCAAATCACAGGATTACCAAGTTTGAAGAAAAAATATATTGAACTCCATATTATATAAAAAAAAATGTTATGATTATGGCGATCAAGGCAATATGAAGAAGTAAATTCAAAGTTTCATATTGTTATTCTCTTGTTGTGGTTGTTGCTACACTCTAAAAAAAGATACCAAATATTGGGTAAAATTTTACACTTTACGAGGGTAAAAAGGGAACATGCATGTTTGTTGGGTAAAATTTGACACAGGGGTGGTTGGGTAAAAATTTACCCAGCAAATGTTTAATGTTTTACTCAACTGATGTGCAATATATTTGACCCAACGTAAAAGGTAAAATGTTACCCAACGACAACCATGTTCCCTTTTTGACACAACATTGGGTAATTTTCTCCCAACTCATCCTGGGTACTCGTTTACTTTGTTCTTGTGTAATTTTTTACCCCAAAGTCGGGTTAAATTTTAACCCAACCTTATTGTATGATTTTTTATTTTTACACAGATTTTGGTATAAAAGAAAACTTGTCCGAGGAGTTGGCTGGAAAAGTACATGCTATATGTAGTGAAGTGTATAAGTAGCAGACCTCTCTCTCTCTCTCTCTCTTGGCTAGACAGTCTTTCGCTTGGCGTGCTCGCAGTAGGTGACTGCATCGCGGATGACATTCTCCATACGAATACTGTGTTGTCCAGAATTATGAGGAATTTCATGTCCATCTTGAGAAGATTTACACGCATTCATGCAAATAAATGCTGCGGAAAGACACAAGTGCATGATCGTAGTCTATTTCGATCAAAGTCGTCCAATCTCTGTCGATCTTGAACACGATTAATTCGATGAACAGCTGATTCGGAACGACCGACCACGCTGGCGCTTCAATCATAGTTTTTATCATCAGTTGTGTCATAATACCAACGTTTAGGTGTCAAAACTTGTGTTTACCCAACGCGTGGTTCAAATATTAATCTGCATCGTTACTTTCTTACCCCGGAAATGCGCACAGTCGAATTTTGATATCACACTATGGCTAGTGTAAAGAAATTTCGAAGGGACTTGGTGTTTGGCACAAGGTTGGGTAATACTTTACCCAACTTTTTTAAACAGCGATTTTGCACAGCAAAATTTTGCACTCTATTTTTAGAGTGTAAATACTTGCTTATCATCTGTTTTAATACATTGCCATTCCAATTATTCATTTTTATTCCATAATGCATGAGTAGTATGTATATCTCTTTTTATATCAGAACTACCGACTTCTAGCCGTACTACTACAGAAGTAGAAGGAGGTAAGAGATTGTTTTTTTCAATTTCATATCAATTGATTTGTTAAAGGTAAACTTGGGTTCTGGTAAAAATAGAGAATGAGTTCTCACAGAATCAAACGAAATTGCCACTGAATGTTGTGTTTTAGTTTTGATGATATGAATAAGACCACATTCACACTCACCTTCTCAGAACGGTCTTTGTTAAACCAGTTTTAAAAAGAGTGGTCTAACGTGAGTTTGAAGACGTAAATGTGTCAAGATGTGAACCTATGGACCGGCACAGGCGACCACGAATTCATTTATAAGGTCCGTGACATGATCATTAATAAATATATACATATGAACATTGCTCTTGCAATTAAAATGCAAAGATAACTTAACATGATATTATCTTTTTAACCACAGGAACCACTACAATTCCTACAGAATCGACAACTGGTATGTGCTATTGCACTTTATTTTGCTTTTCATATACCGCATTACTCCTGATGAGACATAACTCTGCTTATAAAAGGATAATCAGATGAAAGGATTTCATCAATAACAGTTCTGTCTTAGTCAAATCACAGAATTACCAAGTTTGAAGAAAAAATATATAGTACTCCATATTATATAAGTAAATGTTATGATAATGGCGATCAAGGCAATATGAAGAAGTAAATTAAAAGTTTCATATTGTTATTCTTTTGTTGTTGGTTGTTGCTTAATACTTGCTTATCATCTGTGTTAATACATTGCCATTCCAATTATTCATTTTTATTCCATAATGCATGAGTAGTATGCACATCTCTTTTTATATCAGAACTACCGACTTCTAGCCGTACTACTACAGAATTAGAAGGAGGTAAGAGATTGTTTTTTCAATTTCATATCAATTGATTTGTTAAAGGTAAACTTGGGTTCTGGTAAAAATAGAGAATGAGTTCTCACAGAATCAAACGAAAATTCCACTGAATGTTGTGTTTTAGTTTTGATGATATGAGTAAGACCAGTCACACTCACCTTCTTAGAACGGTCTTTGTTAAACCAGTTTTAAAAAGAGTGGTCTAACATGAGTTTGAAGACGTAAATGAGTCAAGATGTGAACCTCTGGACCGGCCCAGAAGACCATGATTACATTTATAAGGTCCGTGACATGATCATTAATATATACATATGAAAATCGTTGTTGCAATTGCAATGCAAAGATAAGTTAGCATGATCTTATCTATTTAACCGCAGGAACAACTACACGAACTACAGAATCGACCACTGGTACGTGTTAATGAACTTTATTTTGGTTTTCATATACCGCATTATTCCTGATAAGACATAACTCTGCTTAAAAAGGATAATCAGATGAAAGGATTTCTTCAATCACAGTTCTGTCTTAATGAAATCATAGAATTTCCAAGTTTGAAGAAGAAAAAAATATTGAACTCCATCCTATATAAGTTATTGTTATGAATATCGCGATCAAGGCAATTTAATGAAGTAAAATCAAAGTTTCATATTGTTATTCTTTTTGGTTGCTTGTTGCTCAAGACTGGCTTATCATCTGTTTCAATACATTACTATTCAAATTATTCATTTTAATTCCATAATGCATGATTACTATGTACCTCTATTTTTATATCAGAACTACTGACTTCTAGCCGTACTAATACACAATCAGAAGGAGGTAAGAGATTGTGTTTTAAATTTCAAAACATTTAATTTGTTGATATTGTCCAGAGATTTACCTGAACCATTGTCTTATATATTCTCCTTTATTAAGCAATTTCGATTATAAGTAATAGAATTATCGTAAATATGGAAAGGTAAGGCAATAAATATACCAAATTAGGGTTAGGTGAACAAAACCAATAATTCAAAAAGCAGTCTCTTGAACCCTGCGTTTCTGTATACTTTAGATAAATATGTGCTAGAATCTATTGAATAAGACAAGTAAGCATAATGACGAATTAAATCATTATTGAGCCTTGTCTAACTAACCTTTTGACTCTGTCTGTTTTAAGTGAAAAAGTGTGTATGTATAAATAAATACATATGGCTTTCGACTTTGCGGCAATTATACCAACACATCATAACAATATTCAGTAATTGCTAAATTGTAAAAAGCGGGAGCCCTGCAACTAGGTCAAATGACTGTAACCACCCGGTAGAAACTTACTAATACCTGTATACATGACATTCGGGTTATTTTTACCAAAGTGACTTTCATAATTGATATGATATATATTTTGACTTGTTTTTTTGCGTTGCCATTTCGATATGAGCATATTTAAACATGCACAAAGAACTGATAAATCAATAATATCATTTAGCAATGCAATATTATTGTGTAAAAGACAAAAGGGCAATATTGAGGTAATATATATGATAACGGAACGTTGTTGACCTATAGGATGACATGGATGGGCATGCTTCATAAGAATTTTTTTTTTTTGACACGAGCCCGTAAATGTTTAAGAGATACTAAATAAAAATCATCAGTTATTTTAAGGTCTCACAAAATACAATATGAATGGAGGTACGGTCGTTCTGCAAAATGCGCGAATGTGAACTGCCCTTATGTACTTAAAATAATAGTCAAAGGTATATACAGAACATTTCCCATGCAGGGGCGTCGCTAGAACTTTTTCAGTGGGGGGGGGGGGGGGTGTAGAGGCCAACGATTACCGACAAAACTAGCCACCAATTACCGACAAAATTAAATGTCCCAATATCTACAAATTTAGCGCTATAAACCGGGGCCGAAGGCTAAATTGTTTTTCCTATGGATTATCTATAGTACGTACGTATGCGCAATGGTCATTTTCCTCGACGACATAAGTATACGAATTATTTCGTCAACTTAGTCAGCATCATAGCTATATATTTTAATGCAGGCGCGGAGCTAGGATCTTATTTTAGGGAGGGGCGCTGGTGAGTAAGCGAATCACTTTTGCACTTTCATTAGGGGGTGTGGTTATTAGGCCTCCCACGCAAAGCGCGGAAGCTTAGACGTTCCCTTAAACTATTAGAAAAAGAAGACGATTTATTGTACCGTTCTCGACTGTTAATCCTTGTCTGAATTCAGTTTCTCCCCCTCCGCGCAAAGCGCAGAAGCTTTGACGTTTCATTAGATTATGAGAAAAAGCTGACGATTCGGTGTACTGTTCTCGACTCTTAATCCTTATATAAATTCAGTTTTCCCGCGCGAAGCGCGGAAATTTTGACGTTTCATCAAATTATCAGAGAAAGTTGACGATTCGTTGAACCGTGCTCGTTTCTTAATCCTTGTCTGAATGAAGTTCCTCCCTCCCGCGCGAAGCGCGGAATTTTTACGTTTCACTAAATTATTAGGGAAAGAAGACGATTCTTTGCACCGTTTTCGACTCTTATTAAGCCCTATTTTATCTGAATTTCTTTTCCCCCCTCTCGCGCAAAGCGCGGAAGCTTTGACGTTTCCTTGAATTATTTGAGTAAGCAGACGATTCGCTATACCGTTTTCGACTCTTAATAAGCCCCAATTGTCTGAATTCAGTTTCCCCCTTTAGCGCGAAGCGCAGAAGCTTTGACGTTTCCTTAAACTATTAGAGAAAGAAGACGATTCGTTGCACCGTTTTCGACTCTTATTAAGCCCTATTTATCTGAATTCAGTTTCCCCTCTCGCGCGAAGCGTGGAAGCTTAGAGGTTTCCTTAAATTATTAGAGAAGGCAGATGATTCGTTGCACCGTTTTCGACTCTTATTTATCCCTATTTATCTGAATTCAGTACCCCTCTCGCGCGAAGCGCGGAAGCTGTGAGGTTTCCTTAAATTATTAGAGAAAGCAGATGATTCGTTGCACCGTTTTCGACTCTTAATAAGCCCTATTTATCTGAATTCAGTTTCTCCCTCTCGCGCGAAGCGCGGAAACTTTGAAGTTTCCATAAATTATTAGAGGAAGCAGACGATTCGTTGTACTGTTTTCGACTCTTAATAAGCCCTAAATGTCTGGATTCAGTTTTCCCTTTTAGCGCGAAGCGCGGAAGCTTTGACATTTCCTTAAATTATTAGAGAAAGAAGACGATTCGTTGTACTGTTTACGACTGTTAATTCTTGTCTGAATGATGTTTCTTCTCCTCGCGCGAAGCGCGGATGCTTTGACATTTCCATAATTTATTAGAGGAAGAAGACGATTCTTTGCACCGTTTTCGACTCTTATTAAGCCCTATTTTATCTGAATTTCTTTTCCCCCCTCTCGCGCAAAGCGCGGAAGCTTTGACGTTTCCTTGAATTATTTGAGTAAGCAGACGATTCGCTATACCGTTTTCGACTCTTAATAAGCCCCAATTGTCTGAATTCAGTTTCCCCCTTTAGCGCGAAGCGCAGAAGCTTTGACGTTTCCTTAAACTATTAGAGAAAGAAGACGATTCGTTGCACCGTTTTCGACTCTTATTAAGCCCTATTTATCTGAATTCAGTTTCCCCTCTCGCGCGAAGCGTGGAAGCTTAGAGGTTTCCTTAAATTATTAGAGAAGGCAGATGATTCGTTGCACCGTTTTCGACTCTTATTTATCCCTATTTATCTGAATTCAGTACCCCTCTCGCGCGAAGCGCGGAAGCTGTGAGGTTTCCTTAAATTATTAGAGAAAGCAGATGATTCGTTGCACCGTTTTCGACTCTTAATAAGCCCTATTTATCTGAATTCAGTTTCTCCCTCTCGCGCGAAGCGCGGAAACTTTGAAGTTTCCATAAATTATTAGAGGAAGCAGACGATTCGTTGTACTGTTTTCGACTCTTAATAAGCCCTAAATGTCTGGATTCAGTTTTCCCTTTTAGCGCGAAGCGCGGAAGCTTTGACATTTCCTTAAATTATTAGAGAAAGAAGACGATTCGTTGTACTGTTTACGACTGTTAATTCTTGTCTGAATGATGTTTCTTCTCCTCGCGCGAAGCGCGGATGCTTTGACATTTCCATAATTTATTAGAGGAAGCAGACGATTCGTTGTACCGTTTTCGACTCTTAATAAGCTCTAATTGATTGAATTCAGTTTCCCCCTCCCGCGCAAAGCGCGAAAGCTTTGACGTTTCATTAAATTATTATGAAAAGAAGACGATTCGTTGAACTGTGCCCAACTCTTAATCCTTGTCTGAATTCAGTTTCTCCCCCTCCCGCGCGAAGCGCGGAAGCTTTGACGTTTCATTTAATTATAGGAAGCAGACCATTTAGTGTACTGTTCTCGACTCTTAACCCTTATCTGAATTCAGTTCTGCCCCTTCCGCGCGAAGCGCTCAAGTTTTGACGTTTCATTAAATTATTAGAGAAAGTAGACGATTCGTTGAACCTTGCTCGACTCTTAATCCTTGTCTGAATTCAGTTTCTCCCCATCCCGCGCGAAGCGCAGAAGTTCTAACGTTTCATTAAATTATAAGAAAAAGCAGACGATTCGGTGTACTGTTCTCGACTCTTAATCCTTATCTTAATTCAGTTCCCCTCTCGCGCGAAGCGTGGAAGCTTTGAGGTTTCCTTAAATTATTAGAGAAAGCAGATGATTCGTTGCACCGTTTTCGACTCTTATTTATCCCCATTTATCTGAATTCAGTTCCCTCTCTCGCGCGAAGCGCGGAAGCTTTGAGGTTTCCTTAAATTATTAGAGAAAGCAGATGATTAGTTTTACGTTTTCGACTCTTAATAAGCCCCAATTGTCTGAATTCACTTTGCCCCTTTACCGCAAAGCGCGGAAGCGTTGGTGTTTCATTAAATTATTAGAGAAAGAAGACGATTCGTTGCACCGTTTTCGACTCCTAATAAGCCCTAAATATCTGAATTCAGTTTTTCCCTCTCGCGCGAAACCCGGAAGCTTTGACGTTTCCTTAAATTATTAGAGAAAGCAGATAATTCGTTATACCGTTTTCGACTCGTCTAAATGAAGTTTTTCCCTCCCGCGCGAAGCGCGGAATCTTTGGCGTTTCATCATAATAGAGAGAAAGGAAGACGATTAGTCGTACCGTTGTTGAATCTTAATCCTTGTTTGAATTTAGTTTCCCCGAAAATTTTAAACTTCTGATTTCTTTAGCTGATATTATAGGAAAGTGAAACTTCGAGAAAATACAAGTATTATAGTTGTAGTCACTCTCGAAGTCGTCACAGCGGATAAACAGTCACAGTTCGAAGGAGAAAAAACTTGTCGGCCGACCGACAATATACATCTCACCGACTTCAAACTTCTGCATTGATATAGTAGGCCTACACGAGGATTGAGCAAGAATACCGACACAGCTGACCCGACACAGCAACATATTTACCCGTGTATTTCTTGCTCCCTCGACGAGACGACTCAACCAAACAACCCCCCTCTCTCTTTTACACCCACTCCTCCTCTATCAGGCTCTTACCTCCCCTCTCTCTCCTCTCTTTCATCCCCCGTTTTTTTCGTTTCCCTTTTCTCTCTTTTTTCTTTTTTTTCTTCTCTTCTTTCTTTTCTTTCTTTTCCTTTCTTTCTTCTCTTTTCTTTCCTTTGTTTTCCTTTCTTTCCTTTTTTTTCCTTTCTTTCTTTTCTTTTCCTTTTCTTTTTTTTCTTTCCCTTTCCCTCTCTTTTTCCCCCTCCCCCTTTTCTCTTTTTTTCACGACGGCAGCGCAATTTTACCGACAATATCCTGACAGGTGGGGGGGGGGGGGGGGTGTCTCACCCCAACAACCCCCCTTTGGCGACGCCCCTGCCTGCATGCACATTTTATAACGCAAAACCACACCAATAGACTATAATAGCCTGTCATATCTTCCGTCTCGATGCGATATTTTCAATCCTTGTCATCTGTTATATAGCTTTTTTCATCGGTAGCTCGGGCTTGTAGTTATATATTTTAAAGCTGGCTGCATATTTTTGGACGTCTCTAATCTTAATATACATCTAGCGCTGTAATCATGTGCATTAGTATTGATTATATGAATAAGACCCCAATCACACTCGTCTGTTTTTCATATTTTTTCCCCCACTTTGTCATAGATGTTAATGAGTGTGCGATAGATACAAGTCTCTGTAACAATGGAAGATGTGTCAACTTGGATGGATCATACACTTGTGTCTGCAACACTGGATTCACATTAGTGAATGCAAATTCTTGCAATGGTAGGTCGAAATACGAGTTTCTATTTTTCCATGAGGGATAATATAGGTTTAAGTCAGGAGGATAAAAACAAAGAAATCGATATCGAGTTCATTTAGTTTTATGCAGAATGAAATGAACACATTTTACACTATCCGAATGGCACTTTTATTAGGTTTTTTGCATGGGATTGACATATTTAAAAATTGTGTAACAACTTTTCGAATTAAACAAAACATGTGAGGAGGATTCAAATTCACACCAGTCAGAACGTGGTCAAAATTTGGATGTTCAATCTGATGAATGGGCATGTGTTTTGAAATTTGTGCAATATTCTTCATCCAATGTTAATTGGTAATAAAGGTAATATAGGTAACAACTGAATTAATCATACCCCTTATAAATTTGATTTCCCCCTTTTTTTTTCTTCCCTTTCCTTTTCTTTTCTTCTTTTTGGGGGTGTTTTTCCTTACTAAAAAAAATGAAAGGTGGACTACTTGAATCAGGGCCTTTGTTGAATACTTTTAGATGTGAGCTTAATTATGTCCCATCCTTAAGAAATGCAAATGGGGACCAAACAGATTTTCACGTACTTAAACTATTATACAATTTGGTAACGGAATGAAAAATGTAGTTGTTAACTGTACATTTACATGTATGAAAATGACTTGATTCAATTCCTTATAAATCATCTGACTAGGTTGGTATTGCATATATTGTACACATTCAATGATTAATCTCCTTATTACAATCCTTTTTGATGTAATTAAGAACCAAAGTATTAATGATTTTTTTTTCATGGGGAAACGCATCATGTCCATAAATATCTTGGCTTCATGCCATCGTTTTTCTTTTTTCTTTCTCTGTCTACCTAGCTCTTTCAAGCAGTCTTGCCACTAGTCGAGTGACTGTGCAGATTACAGGACAAAGACTGAATGGTGAAACCCTGACGTATACAACAGAATTAACCAACAGGTCATCGGCCAAATTCATGGAATATGAAATTGCATTCTGTTACATTGTAAGTATATTCTTCTTCACCAGTAAATGCTAGAAAAAAGATGACAATTTTGTAGACGTTAATATGTACAAGTGCGTGCCTCTTCAGCTTGCAAATCCAACACACTACCTATACATCTTGTATATCACATTAAGAAGTTTACACATATGTCAGGAAGTACAGTAGCTAACTGGAACTTTGTAATTTATTAGTTTTGGCTCCCCCTGAAAAATGCAACATGTAGATCCATTAAAAACAATGCCTCCGCCACTGAAGATGGCGCGGAAGGCATTGTTTTATCGACTTGCTCGTCTGTCCGCCCTTTCCAATTTAACAAAAGTTGGATGAATAATGTTCGCGTGTGAGTATGCAAGGTTGTATGGGCCGCCGTTAGGGCCAATATTAACAACCACAAAAACAGACAAAGATGGATCCCAACAAACAAAGGTCAGAGCAAAATAGACAAAGTACCCAGAAAAAAGGACAAATGACAAGCAAACAAACGAAGGTCAAAGCAAAATAGACAAAGCAACCAGAAGAAACAAACATACAAAGATACAAAGGACAAAACACCAAACAAAGCGACGAGAAGGACAAATTCACAAGCAAAGGATGAACTGAAACAGACATAACAGCATCGTACGAACTGACCTCAAAGGACAACAGATGGCGTTTTTGGTTTACGGTAAGCAAATAGACATCAATCACGAAGAAAGAAAAAGAATGATTTGAAACAGACATAGCGCATCGTACAAACTGACCGTCTAAGGACAACAGAGGGCGTTTTGGTTAAATACGGTTACTGACCATGCGGCCTCCATATACAGTTTATATCAGTATCAAACAAAGGAATGATTGACATATGACTTTATAGTAGCTATAACAAGGCCAGTTGGTCCTCTGGGCTGGTATACCTAATCTAATAATCCTAAGTGTGTCAATAGCAAACTTAGTTTATTTGGTCGCCAACCTAGTCTGGCTTGCTTGTTTGCTTGTCAATGTTTGGGGGGGGGGGGCACTTCTTAGTGATACCGTTATAAGCGTGTGTTATAGAACTAACACGCGTTTCTATAGGGATGTCCCCCGGACGTTCGAGAATTAATCATACTGGCCCCAATACAGTGTGAGTAAAAAAAAGTTTACACCTAGAAAATTGCTAATTATTTTAAAAATCATCTATGAACAGTAAATTGTTATACATCTTATGAAAGTGTGTTTTATCCAAAATCATTTGATATCATTTTTGTATGGTATGTGTTCACGCTTGGATGAACAGGAGGCATTGTTTGCGAGAGTGCAAAAATCGCTCTAACTGCCACATTTCTTGACGGATTTCTTTCAAATGTTTACGGAGGTGGGTCTTAGTAGACTCTACACATAGTTATTGTTTGGTGATGCTGCCATCTGTGTTTCGTTTGTTAAACGGTCAAAGGTTATATGTTGGTGGCTGTCTTTCCTGCGCTCTAACTGCCACATTTCTTGACAGATTTCTGTCAAATTTTCTGCAGAGATGCATTATATATGCTAATTTACATACATATTGTTTTGGTGATGCTGCTCCTAGTCTTGCCAATAGTCCGAACCACTAGTCACGATCTATACGTCATCCTTTTGTTTCAGGGAGGGGATAGGGGATCTTTGTCCCTCCTTCGAACATAAGGATGACACAAAATCGCTGCCACTGCCGGGGGATACATTCGCACTGCGCGGCAATACATATTGCAATATTTCTAGTTTTCTATAAAAAATATATTTTTCCCTCCTCGAATTAGCAACAATTAATCTAAGTTTCCGTTCCTTCTTCGTTTAAAGAAATATAAAAATGGTTATTTAATTTAAAAAATGCGAAAGGAAATTGCAAAGTTTTAAGGGATAGTTGAGTTCTGTTGCGGAGGGCGCTACACAAAATAATTTTCTGTGAGATAATGAAAAATGAAAAAAAAATGAAAGAACATAAAGTTTAAATGACAAAATCATCTTTGTTTGATCAAAATCGGTTCAGAGACGGCTGAAATATCGCTAAATATAACGATTTCTAATATTTGTGTACCACCACAATTATTCGATAATTTGTAAACGCCGTTGAACAAACGAAATTGCGCCTTTTATGTTGTATTTCAGCCAATGCCAATGTTGGATTTTTGTGTGGCTTTGTCGTGTTGGTTATATCATGATTACCGTATTTTTTTTTTTAAAGTGGAGCTGAATTAGTATGATCGTATTGGCTAAATTTTTACACATTTTGGGGTCTAAAATTACCTTCATAGCAATTTTAGGCCCCGAAGGGGCACTAGAAATGTCATAGATAAAAAAAAAAGAGCAATAAGCATGCACTTTGAGGCATTTGCGGTCTGAAAACAGAACTCAACTATCCTTTAAGTTATAAAATGACCTATTTGTACACGAAAATCGTAATAAAAGATGACGTGCAATTAAATCGCTAAAATTTGAGAATGGCACAGTTTACGTATTGCATTGGACTCAAATTGTTGTGATTTTTTTAAATCTTTCTGCTTATGTGTAATGTGTACATCCTAGCATTTGGGATCCTAATTAGACAGAACGAAAATGTCACTAAGAGGAGACATTGTATTGCTATGGCCGTATAATGTTTTTTCTTTTTTCTGATCATTTTAATGATTCCAGAACCTCGCATCAATCTACGTGTACTACATGATCAACCTTTCTCTAATGATTTGAAACAGTTTATTTTTCCATAACTGGAACTGATCTATATCTGTGAAAAAAAAAGGATTGAAGGAAATCTATTTTTTAAAGTACACTTCATATTTAGGCATACTCTGATTCTTGTTTTCTCTACTTTCTCATTTAACAGTTCAGCCAATATGTAAGGGAACAGCTAGATTCTCAACTTGTCGATGCTAATTGCATTGTGCTATCATTTAGCGAAGGTAGCGTAGTCGCTGACGTGCAAATGGAACTTGCCGCTACCAGCAAAAATGTAGCAGATGGGCTTGCTATGAGTTTAACTGCCTTATCTACCAGCGCTGATCAACCTTTCTCCGCTAATGGTCAAACTCTGGAGGCGTCTATATCGGTAACTGGTAAGAGTAAATGACAACCCTTTTCACATGTATTGGAAACACCCCAATTTCAAAAAATGAAATGTAAGCTACAATTACCAATCATGTGAAAGAATATGTTTTAACTAATACATCATGATACAAATTTTGCCGGGAAGCCGCCCACTAATTGATATATTTGTTAAATTAGTTTATCTATTGTTATGTGAGAGGTGAGAGATAAACGCACGTGTCGTGCACGTGTGCGTAGTCCCATATACAACTTTCTGTGTACATTGCTTGTAACTTTACGAAGGGTCAAATTTCTTAACATTTTGATGATTCCAGAACCTTGCAGTATACACCAATACTTATACGCTAGATGATCAACCTTTTCTGGTCGATTCCACAATGTTTCTTTCACAATGCAATCGCATGACCATAACTGGTTTTTATCTTTACGACACCTTACAAGAGAACATCGTTTTTCACATACAAACATTATATATATTTTTAGTTTTCAAAGCAAATAATGTTGATGTCTGTTAATTGGTATCTTAAAATGAGTTTTTTTTTCAGTTGTCTGCAATGTAAAGAAAACCACTCTCAGGCAATGCCAATGGACACAATCGACAATTCAATTTCAGATACTTTTTGTATTAGAAAATAGTATTGTATTGTAGTTGTGAATAGTCTGTGATATTTCAATTCGATGGTTCTAAATTATTTGCAATATCATATCTAAGATTAATTGGTAATCAACTCTCTATCACTATTAATGGCTGGAGTTAATTTCTGATCATGTGATCCAACCAAGTGATAACATGCTGCTTTCAAGATATTCAACTACAATCAACAAATAGTGTTAATTTTTCAAACTGTTATGTGACAAATCATTTTAGGCTTCATATTGTCTATTGGAGTGACTTGCATTTCAATCGATGGTTATGTCATCATACAATTTCATATAAAAAATGGGTATGTATCGATACCACAGCAAGAAAAACATGTAGTTTGACATTGTCCAATTCAAGTGATTCGTCCCCTGTACAATCAACCGTGATCATATGCCCAACAAAATGGTACCACAAGAAGCAGGAGGAATGGCCCTTCTGCTATATGTCATACAACAACACTTCATACTTACAGTTCTATTAATTAGGCACTTTCAAAAAGTGTGCACATAAAGCTGTCAAAGCACATGTAGTATTAAGTAAACTGTATCATAAGATGGTGACGTTGATCCGAATCAAATGATTGGTTAAGAGCGTACACGTGACCAGGCATTTTTTTTGCCTAACACATAATTTTGATAATGACCGGTCATTATCAAATGCTAATGACCGGTCATTAGTAAAATCATGTTAAAAGGCATCATTTTATAAAACAAATAAAACATAATCTTTGAAAACAAATAGTACATATCAGTTTGTTCGGGCATTAGTAAAATAACCTACACTCGGTACTTTTAAAACAGTCCAAACACCCTCGGCTACCGCCTCGGGCATGTTAAAATGTTGCAAAGGTAACAATAATTAGATTTGCTTATATAGCGCCTAACACTGACTTTATCAGAAGTCTCTAAGCGCTCTACAATAATGCAACTTAATTACCCTGGCTTTAGCAGTGCAGCTGTCACGTGCGCTGCGTTTCAAGGAATAAATTCCTACCCGGTCCCCATTTACTTCACCTTGGTGGAGTGTGGTAAATGTAGATTAATTTCTCGCAAAGGACATTAGTGCTGCAGCGGGACTCAAACCGCGGACCTTGTGATCGACAGTCCGGCGACGTATCCACTCGACCACAACACGTCTACCTTATGTGGGTAGTTCTTACTAATGCCCTCACTGCTGTATATTATTTGTATACTGTTATTGTTATTATTAGACGTTATTATTATAGTAGTTATGGAATTATTGTCCTTCCGCTGCATATAATTTCTCAATGAAATAACGATAAAATAAGTTGGTCAGTTATCAGAAGTAATTTGAATTATTCATATATCTTTGAAATGAACAGTTCAGTGCGATCAATCGAATTGCCAGAATGGTGGGGCATGTACTTCTTCTGGACAGCCTTGTGATTGCCCAGCTGGTTTCACAGGAGACCTTTGCCAGAATGGTAAATTGTGTAATGTTGTTATCAATGGTGTTTCCTCAAAGAATGATATTTCAGACAATTTGTCGATGATTATAATTATGATAACAAACCTTTACTCGAATAGATTTTGTAATTCAGTTGTTTTTTAGTTTTTCTATTCTCTCTGTCACTCATACTTACTTGGCATATGTGTGTATCTCTATATATATATATAACTATATATATATATGTATACATATAACTATATATATATATATATATATGTACATATATATATATGATTATATATAAATTATAACTAGAAATGGATGTGAGAGTCACCTCATAAATATTTATCTTCTTCATTGTATTAACCTTGATCTCATATTTTTGCAATGAGTAAAGCAATGTTTGAAAACATTCTAGTAATTTGAGCTAGGGACAGAGTCTGAACGTTCTAATGTTTCAAATGTTAATCTTTTTAATTTTCTCATTTAATCTAATACCACGATTAAAAGACTTTTAAAATGTCATTAACCCAATCATTTTAAGTTTTTGGCACAATGCGATATGATTTCCAGAATTCAACCATTAAATTAAGACAATGGCAATCATCATCAATATCAGCATCATGTTTATTATTATTATTATTGTATTTACTATTATTATTTTCATTATTATCACTCTTTATATCATAAAAAATATTATATACCCTCATCTAGATGCTAAACAGGTGTTGATGAGTATCACCATAGAAGTAGAAGTATTAAAGTAACTCATACGATTATTCCATATTTTGATTTTACCACTTTGTCATAGATGTTAATGAGTGTGCGATGGATACAAGTCTCTGTAACAACGGAAGATGTGTCAACTTGGATGGATCATACAATTGTGTCTGCAACACTGGATTCACATTAGTGAATGCAAATTCTTGCAATGGTATGTATAAATACGAGTTCCTATTTTTCCATAAGGAATAATCTAGGTTTCATGACCAACTTTGTAAAATTAGAAAGGCAGGAAGATAAAACAAACAAATCAATATTATTTCCAAAATTCAACCATTAAATTAAGACAATGGCAATCATCATCAATATCAGCATTATTGTTATCATTATTATAATTGTATTTACTATAATCATTATCCTTATCATTATAATCACTGTTTATATCATAATAAATATTATTTAAGTAACTCATAGGATTATTTTATTTTTGATTTTACCACTTTGTCATAGATGTTAATGAGTGTGCGATGGATACAAGTCTGTGTAACAACGGAAGATGTGTCAACTTGGATGGATCATACACTTGTGTCTGCAACACTGGATTCACATTAGTGAATGCAAATTCTTGCAATGGTATGTCTAAATACGAGTTTCTATTTTTCCATGAGGGATAATCTAGGTTTCATGACCAACTTTGTAAAATTGGAAAGACAGGAGGATAAAAACAAACAAATCAACAGCAAAGTTCATTCAGTTATAATTTGCAGAATGCTGTCGTCCATTGTCAAAATAGCATCTTTCATAAGTTTTTTTTGCATGTAATCTCATACTCATTCCAAAAGTGTGTAACAACTTTTCCAATTAAAACAAAAATGTAAGAAGCTTGATGTAGAATCCACTCTTTATCACTAAAGGGCTTGAGTTAGCATTTCACCATCTGATGCACCCAAATGTTAAAAGGTGTTGCTTTCAAGATAGCCCACAGCAAATAGTGTTTGTTTTGTATGCCTCCGCCACAAGATAGCTGTTGGCATTATGACTTCTGGTTGTCCCTGTGCCCGTCCGTACTTCCGTACATCCGTCCGTACGTCTGTACGTCCCGTTCTCATGATCGCGTTATCTCAAGAACCAATTCGATTGATGGATTACCGACAAACTTGTGTCATGTATGTATCTTGCAGAGCCAATGAACTGATTAGATTTGGGGGTCATGATGCCAAAGGTCAAATGTCATTGGGCTCATTATGTATGCAAACATCTAAATAACCGATTGGTGGATTAGCGTCAAACTTGGGTCATATATGTATCTTGCGGTGCCAATTAACTGATTATATTTTAGGGTCATGAGATCAAATTTTAAAGGTTCATACTATACATGTATATGGAAAACAGCTTTTATTCACGATATTCTGAGAACCTGTTAATGGATTATTATGACACTTAAATTTTGTTTTATTGCTTCTGTTTTGGTTGGGAAAATCGCTCTATGGCACAGGCATCATTTTCGACTGCCTGCAGTCGAACCTTCAACTAGTTTAAAATTTGCTTTTGACAAATTATTTTAGGCTTCATAAAATGATATCTGCCCAATTCAAGTAATTCGACCACTGTGCTTTCGAACGGGAATAAATGCCCAACAAAAATAGTACCGCAAGAAGCAGGAGAAATCACTCTACTGCTATATTACAATCTTTCATACTTATTGTTCTTTAAATTAGACAATTTCAAAAAGTGTACACATAAAGCTGCCAAAGCACAAACTGAATTAATTTTATCGTTATTATTATTCGCTCACATTATAGTAGTTATGGAGTTATTGTCCGTCTTATGTCTATACCTTCTCAATAAAATAACTATAAAATAAGTTGGTCAGTTATCAGAAGTAATTTGAATCATTCATATATCTTTGAAATGAACAGTTCGGTGCGATCAATCGAATTGCCAGAATGGTGGGGCATGTCCTTTTTCCGGCGAGCCTTGTGATTGCCCAGCTGGTTTCACAGGAGACCTTTGCCAGAATGGTAAGTTGTGTAATGTTTTTATCAATGGTGTATCCTCAAGGAATGATATCTCAGACAGATTCAGGTTCGTTGATTATAATTATGATAACAAACTTTTAAACGAATATATTTTGATATTATGTTTTTTAGTGTCTTTATGTTCCCTCTCACTCATTCTCCCTAGGCATATAAATATACTTTGTGAGTCAAACAAAACTTTAAACCTAGGAATTTGCTTATTATTTTTATAATCATTTATGAACAGTAAAGTTGGTCAGTTATCAGAAGTATTTGAATCATTCATATATCTTTGAAATGAACAGTTCAGTGCGATCAATCGAATTGCCAGAATGGTGGGGAATGTCCTTTTTCCGGCGAGCCTTGTGATTGCCCAGCTGGTTTCACAGGAGACCTTTGCCAGAATGGTAAGTTGTGTAATGGTGTTATCAATGATGATCCTTTAAGAATGATATTTCAGACAGATTCAGGTTCGATGATTATAATTATGATAACAAACTTTTAAACGAATATATTTTGTTATTGTGTTTTGTAGTGTCTTTATGTTCCCTCTCACTCATTTTCCCTAGGCATATATATATATAGACCTCGTGAGTCAAAAAAACTTTAAACCTAGAAATTTGCTTATTATTTTTATAATCATTTATGAACAGTAAATTATTATACATTTTATGAAAGAATGTTTTATCCCAAATCATTTGGTATCATTTTTTTGTGGTATGTGATCACGCTTGAATAGTCCAACGGCTTCTATTGGTAAAACAATAATGATCAATCAAAATCGATTTTAGCAACTGTCCACCAAAAAAAAGTATATTCTAATCTCAATTGCATTAACTCCATCACATAGATCACTTGAGGCATTGTTCGCTAGAGTGCAAAAATCGACTTGCGCCAAAGAGATGCATACAGTAAGAATTATGTTGTGATTAGCTGTGTGAGAGAATGAATTGAATGAAATGCATTGCATATGTTTTTTTGCCAAAGCAAAGTCACGCACCGACACACACGCGCGCACAAATGTTCGTTGATATTTGATATTCGATATTTGATATGTGTGGCATGATTAATTTTGTTAATGATGTTATTTGTATCTGCAAAGACCGAATTAATACCGAAATCCCAATCATTTTATTAAAACATCACACTAGCCACTGTGGCGAAAGTCGATTTTTGCACTCTCGCAAACGATGCCTCCTGTTCATTCAAGCTTGAACACATATTAGAGCCAATGGACTGATTAGATTTTGGGGTCATGTGGCCAAAGGTTATGGGGCTCATTATGTATGCAAACATAGATTGTGAACGCATTTTCTAAATAACCGATCAGTGGATTAGCGTCAAACTTGGGTCATGTATGTATCTTGCAGAGCCAATTAACTGATTAGATTTTAGGGTCATGAGGTCAAATTCCAAAAGGTCAAACTATACATGTATATGAGAAACAGCTTTTAATCACGATATTCTGAGAACCTGTTAATGGATTATAATGACACTTCGACAAATAATTAATTGCTTCTGTTTTGGTTGGTAAAATCGCTCTATGGTACAGGCAGTACGTCGAAAATCCAACTAGTTTAAAACTTGTTTTTGACAAATCGTTTTAGGCTTCTAATCATGATATCTGTCCAATTCAAGTAATTCGACCCCTGTGCTGTCAATCGGGAATAGAAGCCCAACGGAAATAGTACTCAAAGAAGCAGGAGGAATCACTCTACTGCTATACTGTATGCAGTGGCGTATTGAGCAAAAACGTTTTTTTTTTTTTGGGGGGGGGGGGGGGCTGACAAAATAAATCCGCAGCACCCCACTCTAACATGCAGGCCTCGCTGAATGTTTCGCAAAGTAAGGTCTAGGGGCAAAGCCCCGGCGGGGTGAAGGGGCGGAGCTCCCTAAGCTCAAGGGGTATGGGCATCAGTGGCGGATCCAGGAATTTCTTACGGGGGGGGGGGCACAAAATGGCATGGGTTAAAAATATGTAAAACAGTGAAGCGACAGAACGAGGCTTTAGCGGCAAGAGAACGGAGCGAACAAGCGAGGGTGGGTCTGGGAGGGGGTTCTGGCCCCCTCCCAGAGTAAGAAACATTTTCAATTTTAGAACTGGCAAATTATACGCATTTTCAGGCACTTCCTGGAGTAATATGACGTAAAATTGCTTTCTCCTACCCCTTCCAAGAGTAGGGATCTTTTGCAATTTGAGAACCACATTACTGTCCACCGGCACTTCCTGGAAGAAAAAAACGAGGCCTTTTGATTGGTTAGAAGTTAGAGAGAAGTGATCTGTCACGTCTTGAGACGTTGTACATGCTTTGATGCCGCACAATGCACAAAGACGGTGGTCCGGTACTTCATCAGTAGTACTTGCAAAACATTTCTTGAGTGTATAAACTGTGTCGTTATCAGGGGCGTCGCTAGATCTTTGTCAGTGGGGGAGTGGGGAGGGTGTAGAGGCCACCGATTACCGAGAAAACGAGCAACAAATTACCGACAAAAATATTAATGCTAATGTCCAAATGTCTACAAATTTAACCCTATAACATCGGGGCCAGGAACTAAGTTATTTTTCAGTCTCCCCCTTCCGCGCGAAGCGCGGAAACTTTGACACTTGATTAAATTATTAGAGATAGAAGACGATCCGTTGTACCGTTCTCGACTCTTAATTCTTGTTTGGACCCAGTTACCCCCCCCCCTCCGCGCGAAGCGCGGTAGTGTTTACGTTTTATCAAATTATTACTCTTAATCCTTGTCTGAATTCATTATCGCAAATCTCGCGCAAAGATCGGAAGCTTTGACATTTCAATAAATCATTACGCTTAATCCTTGTATGAATTAATTTTCACCCCCAAGTCCCCCACCAGTACGCCAGTGACTGTATGTCATTTAGCAATCTTTCATACTTAAGTAATTTGAATCATTCATATATATTTGAAATGAACAGTTCGGTGCGATCAATCGAATTGCCAGAATGGTGGGGCATGTCCTTTTCCCGGTGAGCCTTGTGATTGCCCAGCTGGTTTCACAGGAGACCTTTGCCAGAATGGTAAGTTGTGTAATGGTGTTATCAATGGTGTATCCTCAAGGAATATTTCAGACAGATTCAGGTTCGTTGGTTATAATTATGATAAAAAACTTTTACACGAATATATTTTGTTGTTATGTTATTATCACTCATTCTCCCTAGGCATATATATATATATATATATACCTCGTGAGTTAAAAAAAAGATACCACCTAGAAATTTGCTTATTATTTTTAAAATCAATTATGAACGGTAAATTATTATACATCTTTTGAAAGAGTGTTTTATCCCAAACCATTTGGTATCATTTTCGTGTGGTATGTGTTCACGCTTGGATGAACACGAGGAATTGTTTGCTAGAGTGCAAAAATCGACTTGCGCCAAAGTGATGCATACAATATGTATTATGTTTGGAATAGCTGAGTGAGAGAATGAATTGAATGTATCAAATTAAATGCATTGCATATGCTTTTTGCAGAAGCAAAGTCACACACCGACACACACGCGCGCACAAATGTTCGTTGATGTTTGATATTCGATATTTGATATGTGAGGCATGATTCATTTTGTTAACGATGTTATTTGTATCTGCATAGACCGAATTAATACCGAAATCCCAATTGTTTTATTTAATCATCACATAAGCAACTCTGGCGCAAGTCTATTTTTGCACTCTCGCAAACAATGCCTTCTGTTTATTCAAGCGTGAACACATACCACACAAAAATGATACCAACTGATTTGGGATAAAACACTCTTTCAAAAGATGTATAATAATTCACTGTTCATAATTGATTTTAAAAATAATAGCAATTTTTTCTAGGTGTAAACTTTTGTTTGACTCACGCTGTATATACATATATACCCTTACATTGTACATTAACAGGACATCATGAAAACTGGTTTATTACCCTTAACATAACCCTAACCCACAATTCAAAACAATTTACATGTAACTAGGTACACCCATGACTGATGACTAACCTATTATTTCTTGGGAGGCCTTTTAGTTTTCTCTGCCTGCAAACGTACGTAAAGGGCAGTAATTCTATTGTTCACTCGTTATTAGGAAACACTTAAGTCGATCGTTCAACCACAGAGAAACTTGTACATGCTCTTATTTCATCACGCTTAGATTTCTGTAATTCTATTCTCTATCTACTCCCTAACACACAACTTGTTCGACTTCAGAAACTGCAAAATACTGCTGCACGTATTGTCACACTTTCTTTTCGTAGAACCCACATCACCCCCATTCTCAAAACTCTTCACTGGCTCCCGGTATGTGACCGAATTATTTTTAAGTTGTTGTTGCTAGTTTTCAATTCCTTGTATGACTCTGCTACTTTCTACAATATCAAGTTCATTGTTAAGTTTAAGCCTACAAGGCATCTTCGTTCATCTCAATCCTCCTTATAAGTTGTCCCTGAGACGCGCAGTTCCTGGGGGATAGAGCATTTTCTCATTCTGGTCCGTCCCTTTGGAATAAGCTGCCACTTAGTATTAGTAATTTAACTGCCCTTCATGACTTCAAAGTTGCTCTAAAAACCCATCTCTTTCTAAACAGTGCTATTTAATCATGTCAATGTAGCGTAATAATTTGTGTTGTTTTAGTTTACTTTATTTTAGTTAAGAAAGTTATATTTTTGTTATGGTAATATGTACAGGGCCATGAGCGTCAGAGCCTGGCAGATACCGGCGCGTTATAAATATCCATAATTATTTTTTATTATTATTATTAACATGACATAAAAATGTCATGCTAATGACCATGTCTACTTAATGACTCATTTTTCACTACATTTGTCCGTCTAATGACGCTGTATTATACAGTTTAACACGAAATCGATGTTACGGTACTCTCTTTTCTTGGCACAGTCAACTGATTTCGCGTACATGTACACATTTCTAGTTTTTCTTCTTCCTAATCGCCTATTTGATCTTTTTTTTTGGAGCTCCTCAAGGATTGTCGGATATAGCAAGCACTGGTATTGCTCTCGGAGTTTTGAGTTTTGTTTGCGTCCTCGTAATCTTTGTCTGCTGTGTTTTGATACAATGGGCCAGACGAAATCAAGGAACAAATGCAATGCTCAAGTGAGTATTACAATAAATTTGCAAATGAGCAAGCCCAAGCTATTATTTCTCATAAATTACTGACCACATTTATGATTTTATCTGATGACTGTAGGAAGATGATAGGTCTATTAGAGCTTGATTCAGACAATGAAATCAGACAGCATGAAAGCAAATGGTGATTTTGTGTTGAAAATTCCATGGTGACAATGCCATAATACTTAGTAAATTATGGAACCTATATGTATTTTGGACTTGCCTTACCTGTATCTAGAGGTGCCTTGCCAAGTGATATAACTCTTATTGACAATTTGTATGCATCATAGTAAGAAATTATCCATAGAAAAGAATAATTTCCAAAGACGTTTTCAAACAATTCTTCCCAGACTTCCCCAGAACTTCCCCAGAAAAAATTGAGAAAAAAAAGGAATGTTCTTTTAATAGCAAGAAAATACACACAAAAAAGGTTCATATTTTCAAACTTGAGATTGTGTAAGTACGTGTTCACGTGTTTGTCTAAATAAATAACTCTGTGAATGAGCTCGATAAACCAAACATTTAGTTTAGGACCTATTTTTAGACAAAAAGCACATGTGATTTTTACTCCACTAAGAATCATGCGTTACACCTCTGAATTTGAAGAGACACCACTTTCTTGCCAAGTTTATCTTTATCTATCTGGTCATCTATCTACACGTACCTCTTGAAATATATACATCAACCTAACTGCCAATATATATCTCTATTTATCTTCCTACCTACCTACATTCTTTTTATCTATCTATCTCTCTACTTACAATAATAAAATTAATATTGTGTACCCAGGGATATTTTATCAGTTGGAATACTGTTCTTCCTGAGGCCTTGCAATTATTATTACTCTATTTACATACATATCTGTATACATATCTACCTATCTATCTATCAATCTACTTATCTATATGTCTACCTATCTATGTTTATCTATTATGTACCTATATACCTAACTACCTTACAGTCTATCTTTCTATTTATCAAACTGTCTACCTCTATGTAACGACAGATCCCTCTCGATCTCTCTTTGAGATGCAGTGAACCACTTGATTGTTCACTTCCGGTTCTCCGTGATCATCGTCTGCTGTCTCAACATATTTTGTAAATTTGGTGTTTCCATTATTTACAATATTAACACATTTCACACATAAAAAAAATTATAACAATGTGTGTTTTTTTCTTTAGTGAAAGACGGTTTGAGGATCCAAGTAGACGTAATAGAGACTTCTACAGATACGAGGGGCAGTATGGTGTTGGTCAAGAATTGTATCGACTGGGAGGAACTGATGCGCCGGTATAAACAGCTTCCTTTTGCACGTGATCAACGCTTTATATACAACACAAATAATCTTAAGTTCATGTTTAATATGGTATTTATCATGGGATAGATATACCAAAAGCTTTCCAAAAAGTTTCCAAAAAGATGAACAATTTGTAGTGTTCAAACACCTGCACTTCATTTGCCATCGTTTGTAGTTCGAAATGTTGTGTACACAAAGTTATAGGAAATTCATTACCATTTCTTACGACATCGTACTTACCTACTTTAAACGATTTCATGCATGACATTTTATTGAGAAATGAAAATGGGTTTCATTTTAGTCTCTTAAATTTATGTACTCATTTCTTTACTACTGATTCATATTATATGGAAAAGAGATCTCAAACAAAATATACAATTTTTCTCAAAACAATTATATTAATTGGTAAATGTTTGGAACGCATGATTGATGCTCTAAACGTGGTCTAAATTACCATCATTTACACTTTTGTTTGGTAGAGCAATGTGTGCTTGAAAAAAACTGGTTATTTGTGCAACATATACAACAAACCGGATCCCGGCTAGGCAAAGGTTATAACCACAAATATTGAAAATAACACAACCCTCGGCATGAAAATCCTCAAGGCATGGAGAGGGGTATAGCCTCTGGAAGCTATACCACTGTTTAAAATAATCACAAAAATCATTGTCAAACTCTGAATATCAGTAAAAAGTTATCAGTAGATGTACAATAAATGATCACATTGAATAAACCTGGTTTACTAACTCTTTCAATCTATGTTTCTTCTCCCTCAATAGGGACTTTTAGATTGAGTGGACGAGAACGGCGTGAACGTCCACTGATCATGCGTGTCCATGGCAAGCCGTTTTAACAATTATTTCTATTTCTTAATATCAAGAAGTGATTTTCTGTTTTAAAGCAATGGTAATTCTTGATATCAAGAAATAGGAATGAATTTTAAAACGACTTGCAATAGACACACATGATCAGTGGACGTTCACGCCGTTCTCGTCCACTCAATCTAAAAATTCCTATTATCAGCTATTTCATTCTACTGCTATAGTCACCTTTATGAATGGGATCCACTTTGCTTTACATTAGTTCTTTCTATGTTGGACAATCCTCTGGCAAGTTTTTGACTAGTCAGGAGGAATATTTTTTGTTTAAGTATGCATAAAATTAGTAAACAGGTCAAGCGAAAGATAATTTTGTTTTGGTGTGATTTATTGTTCATGATACATATAGGTTCTTGATTATCGGTTTTTACATCAGTATCCTTTAAGGTTATGTTTGAAAGAAACAAAAATATCGAGTGATTTTGTTGTTGTTCGTCTTTCCAACAGCCTCGCGATGATCGCAATTCCAGGAATAGCTACTTGGCAGATGGGAGAGAAATGGTACCGTTAAAGATTCTTTGCATTTGACAATTCTCTGCATTCGCAGTTTCATTGATTTATAGAGTTTGGCCAATCGTATTTGAATTTTGGACACTTTTGCGAATACTGCTAAAACTCGGCAGCGTTGTTTCGTGGCCTTTTTTTAAAAAACACTTCTGTATGTAAAAATGTAATGCATAGGTTATCAGTTTTAAACCTGCCCTTTCAAAGTTCCCAGTATGTTTGAATTAGTGTAAATAATATGAATGATAATAATATGGGTTTGTAATAGTTCTTAATGCATCCGTCGGAAATGTCTCTTAACGGTTTTTCTAAAAATATTATTACCCCGGTAATCGGATTCGGGCTTGCCCACAAACAATGTATGCACATTCCAGCCAAGTGCCATTTTACAGATACTCCAATGCTAAGCAAACTACAATGACCTTCGCATCATACCTGGTACCCATTTAATACTTCGATACAGATTAGTAAATGTGGATAAAGTCCAGCCCAAGGACATTATTTCTTGGCTTAGATTCGAACCCTCAAACCTTGGGTGGAAAGTCGAGTAAATGAATCATTATGCACCACTATACCACGACATCTCCACTTTGACATTAAGTCTCAGGAAAATGAACCATTCCCAGTCTTAATATACTGAATTTCCTTAGACATACATAACATGTATAAACATGTTATTTCACAATGCTTGTCATGTCACATTTTATTCCTTTTCTTTAACCCCTAATGTATTCTGTTTACTAACTCTTTCAATCTATGTTTCTTCTCCTCATTACCAGCCATTTCATTTACCTGCTATATGAATAACTCATAATTACACCTCTATTAATGGGATCCACTTTGCTTTAAATTAGTTCTTTCTATGTTGGACAATCCTCTGGCAAGTTTTTGACTAGTCAAGCGGAACATTTGTTTAAAAAGTAGTAAACTTGTCAAGCGAAAGATGTTTTTGTTTTGGTGTGATTTATTGTTCATGATACATATGGGTACTCGATTATCGGTTTTTACATCAGTATCTTTTAGAGATACTATGTCCCCTTTGCAGCGAACATCAAATTCTGTAGAACTTTGCAGGAATTACGAATATGTCATGAATGTCCCACTGTGAAATGTAAACGTAAGCAGTGTCCTAATATTCAAATTATGCAAGGAAACCCGTTTACTTGCTAGACTTCACTGTCAGACACTATTGAGTGACTGACTGGCTTTTTCCTTCTTTGGTAATAACATAAAATGAGCTGTAAATGGTACATCAATAACCCACTTCTTGGTATGGCCATGATTAAACTGATCAAATCTCTGCGCATCATAAAACGTACGACCATTGGGTACAATGGTCTGAAAATCAGACTATTACTTACTGGCTCTTTAGCTCTTAAGTCGATTGGACAACTAATAGTTGTTATTTTCCCACTTAAAGACATTTTCAAGCCTGCCCCCTTTCCCCCTTTTTTTAAGGGAAGTTTTAAAGTAGTATTATTTTTCAAATGCAGTTTGAATTTAACCTTTACATTTTTTTTTGGGCCTACAAATGGGGGGAAATAGTTCCTTTAAGGTTAGTAATTCATATATTAGGTTTGAAATAAACACAAAATATCGAATCATTCTTTACTGTTCGTCTTGCCAACAGCCTCACGATGATCGCATTTTCAGGAATATCTACTTGGCAAATGGGAGAGAAATGGTACGTTGAAGATTCTTTGCATTTGACAATTCTCTGCATTCGCAGTTTCATTGATTTATTGAGTTTGGCCAACCGTATTTGAATTTTGGACACTTTTGCGAATACTGCTACATCGGCAGCGTTGTAGCGTTGCCTTTTTTTTTTACCCACTGTATGTAGGAATTTGATCCATAGTTTTGAAGTCTTAAAGCTGCCCTTTTAAAGTTCCCAATATGCTTGAATTTATGTAAAAAATATGAATGATTATAATCTGGGTTTGTAATAGTTCTTAATGCATCAGCCATTGCATTTACCTGCTATATGAATAACTCATAATTACACCTCTATGAATGGGATTCACTTTGCTTTTCATTAGTTCCTTCTATGTTGGACAATCCTCTGGCAAGTTTTTGACTAGTCAAGAAGAATATTTGTTGTTTAAGTATGCATAAAATTAATAAACGGGTCAAGAGAAAGATGATTTTGATTTGGTGTGATTTTTTGTTCATGATACATATGGGTTCTTGATTATCGGTTTTTACATCAGTATCGTTTAAGGTTAATAATTTATATATTATGTTTGAAAGAAACAAAAATATCGAGTGATTTTGTTGTTGTTCGTCTTTCCAACAGCCTCATGATGATTGCTATTTCAGGAATGTCTATTTGGTAGATGGGATAGAAATGGTACGTTGAAGATTCTTTGCATTTGACAAATCCCTGCATTCGCAGTTTCATTGATTTATAGAGTTTGGCCAACCGCATTTAAATTTTGCACACTGTTGTTGCACGTTGTTGCGTGGCCTTTTTACCCACTGTATGTGGACATTTCATGCGAAGTTTATAACTTTTAAAGCTGCCCTTCCAAAGTTCCCAATATGTGTGAAGTAATGTAAATAATATGAATGATAATAATCTGGGTTTGTAATAGTTCTTAATGCATCAGAAATGTCTCTAAATACTTTATTGTTATTTATTATATACCTCTCTTTAGAAATTTAGCCATAGGAAGAGGAAATAATAGAATAATAAAATCAATGAATAACATAAGAGAAGGTGATATAAGAACGAAACAAAGAATAACATAAGGAAAGACAGAAAGAGAAAGTGATAGAATGATAAAAACAAAGAATTACATAAGAGAAGGTGATAGATGGAAGAAACAAAGAATAACATTAGGAAAGACAGAAAGAAAGAGTGATAGAATGAAAAAATCAATGAATAACATAAGAGAAGGTGATAGAAGGAAGAAATAAAGAATAACATAAGGAAAGGCATAAAGAGAAGGTGAGAGAATGATAAAAACAAAGAATAACCTAAGAGAAGGTGATATATGGAAGAAACAAAGAATAACATAAGGAAAGACACAGAGAGAAAGTGATAGAATGATAAAAACAAAGAATAACATAAGAGAAGGTGATAAAAGGACGAAACAAGGAATAACATTTAAGGAAAGACAGAAAGAGATTAATAAACAAGCAACTTGTGAGTAGACTATGCAGTGCACCCGTTGGCGTCTTATTATTTCGTACCCCAATTTATGACAATTTGTGTGATATTAGATTGATTATTTATGAAGTGGACACTGGTGGACATACATCTGGACTTGCCAAACTTTGAAAAATACATATTCCTTACTATTCTATTACCTTCTATTCCTTGGAAAGGGATAGGATAATTTTTAAAATGAAGCGTAACATTTTACACATTTTAGCAGTAAATAAATTATTTGTGTTAATGTGATTGATATACCATTTGATATGTATTTTCTTTAAACTTTTTTTTTTATTTTTAAATTTTGTCTTCATTACAGAACAATAGTGTGGTGCGAAATCCAATCCATTATTGATCGATCACCCGGGAACTAGCCTACGGACAAAGAACGAATATGACAACGGAACTAAAAAAAATAATAATAGTGAAATAGTTACATACTTCTTATGGATAGATGGGTTTTCTTCTGGATATGCTAAATATCAAATTGTA